TTTCAATCTATTGATAGAACGTTTGCACTCAATTGTTACTGCCTGACATTTGTCTTTCCACCATGATACTGAATAGTGATGTGTAAATTGTGAATTTTCACCTATGACAGTGGATATCGATTCGATTATAATTTTGGTGAATTTCTCCACCGGCGTATTCACGTCATAATTGAAATTTGTAGAAGAAATATCTGATAACTTGAAGTCGATGAGGTTCTCATAGTGAGTCCATTTGTTATGCTGTACATTCTTGAGTTTGCATGTGGGATGATATGTTGGTGTCTGAAATGAGTTATCATTGCTTTCAATCAAGATTGGAAAATGATCACTGTCGTATACTTGTGACGATACTTTCCAAGAGAGCGATGTAGAAATCGTTGGCGTGAAAAAAGGCTAAGTCTATAGCGGAATGGTTACCAGATGTGCTATTGAGTCTCGTAATTTAACCATTGTTTAGTATAACGAGGTTGGAAAGGTTGATATATTCCTCTAAGACTACTCGGCGTTTGTTAGAAGATGAGCAGCCCCATGGAGGATTGTGGGCGTTGAAATCTCCCACAATGATGAAGGGTTTTGGAAGCTGTTGAATTATCGTATCAAGTTCTCGAAAGGTAAACTCTACATTCGGTGGAATATATACATTACAGATACATAATTTTCGCGGAAATGTGACAAGAACTGCTATAACTTCGAGTTCTGACGTTATTGAAACCATTTTTGAAGCGATCGATTTTTTTATTATAAATGGTGACTCCACCGCAGTCTCTAAGTGGGCTATTTCTAATTTTATGGAAAGAGTTGTAAGATTTCAATTCGTATGTATGTGCAGTCTTTAAGTTAGTTTCCTGCAAACATGTTACTAAGGGGTTTTCCTCATTCATTTCCTTATTCAGAATGAATTTTGTTAATAAGGAAAAAAAATGAAGAAAAGGGGGTCAGAAACTTTAATAGGTTTCTTGTGAGAGGTAGGCTTGCCTTCGGAAACTAAGAATATGACTGAACTCTGGTCGTGAAATCCCGATTCTGAGAAAGGTTATAGGCGACATAAGGCTCAAACCTAGGTCTTTAAGGCTATTTTCAATTATGATGTTTGGATCGACGGGTATACATTTGATAGGATTAAACGTGTTGCGGGTGTTATTAACCTTCGTGATTTCAGTAGTTGTTGGTTCACCACTATTTCTTCACCTTGTTGAAGGAAAGTATCTACAACTGCAAGACTGGAAAGGTTTATGCAAACTCTGTTATTGGAGATCCTGGAGGAGAAAATTATATTTTTAGGCTGAACTTTGGTTACGATGACGATGATGTACTCGTGTATTTTAACTCCTTCGATAGAATTGAAGAGTATGGCTTCCTCTCTGGATGGAAATTTAAAACTTTGAACTGCAGTAGAGTATGAGTTGGATTGAACATTTGATTGATTACTTTGAGTGTCCCTGTAGTCAGAAACACTCGGTATGTTAGTGGAGCTTATGGTGATATCAGGAATATATGCCGATGATATTCGGCATATCCCTCTGAAAAAACCACTTTACCTTTCGCTTAGGAAAAAAGTCTCACCGATATAAATTGAAGTCAAGATCTTGCTACAATTTTCACACCTTTTTTTACTTGTAGAATTTATAAGCGGACACTACAACAATTCACGACGGATTGTCAGAGTCGACAGACTGAATGTTTTTGTTTTAGAATATTGAAGTTGAGGTTGGGACATCTTTCAATTCATGTTTTTACTTGAATAAATTTGAATTACTGCATGATTATTTTCCGTATTTGACAATATTTCATATGAAAGGTGCCTATTTCAATCCTCTATACAACTTAATGATTTTGAATTTTGGTAACTGGTTGCGACGTTATTGATGTTTCAAATTGGAACCAGGAATTTTGTAAATCTGCCAACTTATGTCTGATTTCTTGGAATATATTATTTACATCTTTTGCAATAGATAAGTATCAATTTCAATGCTATAGAACGATGGCATTTTATTTTATCATCGTTCATATTCATGTGAAAAAAATGTTTAGCAAATATTCAAAGTATCCTCTTCGAACCTTCTGAAAGTCAAACAGTCTATTTTTCAACTCATTTCTAACATTTCATGATGTTTCTGAGTTACTGCTAGCATAAGTTTCCGTAATTATGTCTTCAAGTTACCATAACATTTGAAAAATTACTTTTCATTTGAAAAAGCCGCAAAAAAAGAATCGCTTGCGTTTACGCAGTTCTTTTTATCAAGTACTTTACTTGGTTATTCACATTTTGTCCTCGATTGGGAACCGCCTGCCCGGTACTGACGATGCCCAATATACTGAAATAGTCTACCAGTAGCTCCTAAATTGAAATCAATATGACAATGATCAAAATAGTACTTATCTATTAATTTTGTGATTTTCATGAAATTATTTTCCAGCAGCTTGACTGCATTAACCTTTCTCGATTCTATATAGATCACCACTCTCTAGGTATCACACTCCTCTAGGTATGTGAGATCAACAATATCTGTTCTGTTTTGAAAACAATATGATTTCCCAGACATTCATTCTGTTTGTAGTTCGAGTGTGATCCTTTCGCAAAATATTTAGGTGTTTGTTTGACTAGTATCACATACTAGTTGACATTTTGATTTGAGAAAAAATTGCATTCGTCACTGAAACGAATACTCCCATACAGTTTCGATTTGAAATCAAACGTTCGGACATTAACGCACAAAACTGTATTCTTCTGACAGAGTTATCTTCCTTTGATTCATGTAAAACTTATGTCTCTGAAAGTATTTCTTGACTGTGAGACACCGTTTTCACGAGCAACTACCGTGGACTGTAGGGGGTTATTCACTAGATACACAACGATGTCTATCTGTTTCTCGTCAGGATAGAGTTTCTTCCACTTCGTCAAGCTCTAGCTACACTTCCATTTGTTTGTTACTTCTAAACCAATTCCCTGAGATATTTTTGAGAAATTGGTTCATCAGGAAATCCTACATTGAACACAATTTCTGTCTTATGAAAATTGCCGGGCTTACGTAAATGAGGATCCAATTGAAATGAAATGAAGCGAATTCTCAATAGCAGCTGTCAAGTTCAGATAATATTATTATGTTTAATATGGTAACACGGTGTGGATTCTACATAGTCGATAAAGAAAAAGTCTTGAATGAAATCAAAAATGCGCAAATTTTTCAAATACTATGTTTTGGTATTTTGTCCCTTTTAAAAATTATGAGGAGGGGGACTATTCACGTCCACACTATAGGAAGCTATGGTATGGTAAATCACTTGTTGCAGTTTTGTAAATTACAACATGTGTTAAATGAAAATATCACAATCAAGTGTTGAATGAAAATCTCATAATCAAGTGTTGAATGAAAATCTCATAATTAAGTGTTAAATGAAAATCTCACAATTGAGTGTTATGGATTTTCATTGAGTATCGATCAATTTCCTTACATTTCTTGATGTTTCTGGAATCAATGCCAATAACTATGAATTATCTTCATTTACATGAACCTCAAAGCGATAAGCAGTTACATTCCGTTGCATATTTCCGACAGGTATCACTCTTGGTGGAACCAAATATGCCAAGTCACTTCAACACTCACCGTGAAAGTATCTATAAAAGAGAGACCAATGTCCAACCTTTCTTGGATGTTCCAGAAATTCAAGGTTGCAGGTGATGTTCACGTTTCCAGTCAGGCGGATAGCTTTTTTCTGGATATAATCCAGCAGCTTCAGGGTACGTTTGGGGGGCGAAGCTCCATACATGGGAACAATACTCCAAAGAAGGTCTGATCTGAGCTTTATGAAGCATCTAAAGTTGCTGAGGTACAGTTTTCAGGATCGGAACAGTGTTCCAAGCTTTTGAGAAGCAGCCTTTGCAATTCCAGCAACATGATTGTGGCAGACATATTGGTGTCCATTTAATCCCCCAAACGAACCTATCGAAGCAGAAAGCGGAATTGTCTGTCCCGACATCAGTATATCCGGTTTGGAAACATTTATCTCTTTAGAGAAAGCCTGAGTTTCTGTAGCATTGAATTGAACCCTAGTTCGAAATCACTTCTAGATTCTCATTAAGATATTCAATTTTCTGCTGCCGGTGAAGATGTGCATCCGCTGCCGAATCCAAATAGAATGACGAGACAAGTGTGCTGTCATCAGCAAAGCAATATATTGTATTCTTAGTTTTATCCATGAGTCGTTGATATACATTAAAACGAGGTTTGGAGACAATATGGATCCCTGGGGAATACCAGCGTTGATGGTGAAAGTATTGGAGAGAGATATATGTCGACGGCTAGTTGCAGGGAACGCTCATTGAGGAAGCTGAAGAGCCATATACAAAAATTATCCGACAAGCCATAGCTTCAAAGTATGGCCCTCATGCCACACACGGTCAAAGGCCTTAGAAATATCAAGCGCAACAGCTTTTGACTCTCCATGTTTCTATTCCAAATATGAGTGACGAAACTTGTGAGTAGTACTTCAAATGAATGCTTTGAGAATTATGAAACATTGAGAATTGTTGGGATATATACGACTTAATATGAAATTTGTTTTAGATTACCGGGAGGCTCATTTTGATTCTCGTATTTCAGTAATGTAATTTTGCCAAGCAATATTGATATTCATCCTTATATAGCTATCTGAAATAATGATGATATGTCGGATTCTAATACGTTTATCTTCTCAGCAGAAATTGTTTTCTCAACATTACTCAAAGTCAAACTTTTTACAAATCTTCAATAATATATTTCTTCGTCTATTTTCAACGAGTAACTCGTAGATAGAAAAAACCGCCCAATGTGTGTAGAATTTTCAGATAAAATGGAGAGAAAGTGTTTTTACGCAGATTCAGCAACATTTAGATCCAATACATTATTCATAAAAAACAAACAAATCTCTTTTTCGTATAATATCAATTCTGACAGTTCAGATGAAGGGTGAATGCATAAGAAGAGATATATATTGCATAATCTAAATTTGTACATTTTCAGCCGTATCATCAATAGAAGTATTCGTCTATATCTACGATATCTTTGCAAATCCAACCCATCCAATATCCAATCCAGATATGATGATGTATTTCGAAAGGGAGCCATCTTTCATTGAGAGAATTCGAAGTTTGACACACAACGTTGTTTCCAGATTATGCTATTACTGGTGGATACTCCCACAGTCAGATGTATTAGCAAGGATGTATTTTGGAGAGGATATGCCTGATCTTGAAAAAATAATAAGCAACACATCGCTGCTACTCATAAATAGAAATCCAATCATGCACAGTCCAAGGCCCAATGTACCGACCATCATAGAAATCGGGCAGATGCATATCAGAGAAAAAAAGAATCTCCCAGAGGTACTTGTTTCCGGTTTTTTCAATGAGTGTTATCAACTAGCAGAAGAGAAACGATAAAAGAAGCTGGAATCAATATATGGCATTCTTCCACACCAAAACAAAAATACCGTCTCTCTCTGCGAGTTTTGCTAATCAAGTTAGCAGTCATCTCTTGATGATGCTGATAGGTTGGCCGAAAGCGCACCTGGGAACAGTAATTTTATTCTGGTGTGGAAATGGAAAAAATGTGTTTTTGATTTCTGAACTTTCTGATGCATTTTAAAACTTTCTGTTATATACCGTCCGTTTAGTTCGACCAACATATTTTTCATCGCACTCCTCAGAGATCATTTCGTGAATCCCAGACTTTTTCTATTCCGACGCCTCATCTCACGGGTACTCCGACACTTGTTAAAGTGTACGAGACGTTTTCATATTCAACTTTTCAAAAATTCAAGCCTATTCTTTTGTGTATCCTGGTTCGTATGGAAGCACTATAAATTTTAATTCTTCATCTTCATAAAAAGAAGAGGATTTACAAAGATAATCTGTAAATGTTCTATATTTAATGAACCTATCTATTATATTCAAAAGATATCCATTACTTTCAGGTATCTCCTTGAATGATTTTCATTTGCTCAAGGAGAACTTGACCAGCATATAGACGAACAAATGAGGTCCCACCATTTTTATTTGAGATAATGCTTTTTATACGAGTACAAGTTCTGAACCCTTATCGGCGTTCTATAAGTAGAACATCCAGGAATAGTGTCTCCCCGTTATTTTCAATTTCATATGTGTGGAGCTGTTGTTTATTTTCGTTGAATCAATTCGTACCTGATGCTATATTATGCAAACCATACCATACATATTATTGAATACATATTATTGAGATGGGGAGGTTTGGTTAAATAACGAGTTCGAAGTCAAAACGTGGACCTCAGTTCGGAAATTATGACCCTTCAAAGATCAAACAATTATTTTATTCAACAAGATATATATACATATTTTTTCCATCTTGCTTCATACTTTTTCTTCACAAATTTACCTTCTCTCATAAAAATGTGTTTTTCGTCCGAGCTTTTTTGGGGCATTTCATTGTTCAATTGACAGATTTCGGGTACATCGTTTATTTAAGAATTCTAGGAATCGCACGTTGAAAGTTAAGACCTCGTTAGTCCTTAGCTCGTACGAGTTTTGACTTTTGAGAGTTGTCGTTCGTAATTTAACAAAAAAACAGTTTTTTTTTCTTTTTTGAAGAGGAAAAACTGGTGTAGTAGCTTGTAACACTTGTTTCGCTATACAATCGCTTTCTCAAGCATAAACTGAGGGTTACTTCTAAATTACAACCATTTTATACTCTAACCTAGTACCTACTCGTCTACCTAGATAATGAATCTACCTTAAAACGTCAGGTATGAATTCATTATCAATATCAAACCTTTCTTCTAGAAATGGAGGAGTTTGTATTCATGGTTGAAGTTATGTCCCTCTGAGATCAAACTACTGGCATATGTGGAATTTATTTTTCCATTTTGAATACTATATTTGTGTTCCTTAATGCTGGTTTTGAACGTTCTTCCAGTTTGACATATATAAAACATCGGAAATGACCCACATGATAATTTATACACTGTATTAACTGTGTGTGTTACTGTGTATTCTGTGTAACATACACAGTAACCCACTGGTAAGAAGTTTCGTGTATTGATATAGATATGTCGATGATATCTTGGTATGTTTCACAGGAACGAACAGACAGTTGACAAACTTTTTGAATTTTGAATTGAATCAATTCTCTCCACCCTTCTATCACATTCACAATGGAGATGGAACAGGACGACTATATACAATTTTTGGACTTGACAATAACAAAAGTTAACAACAAACATTATTTTTCAATTTATCGTAAACCGGCACATACAGATATTATCATTCGTAATTCGTCCACTCACCAATATCAGCATAAGGTAGCAGCTTTCAACAGTATGATCTACATCCTAATAAATGTGCCCTTGTCAGAGGCGTACTTCAATAAAGAACTGAATATAATAAAGCAAATAGCCGTCAACAATGATAACGATAGCGGTCTGATACATTCTTTATTATCAAAAAAGTTATACAGTCGAGCTTTGAAAGATGTTTACCCAATTCGAAAATAAGAGGATAAAAGTTATAGAACCTTAACCTACTCAAGCCAACCCACTACAAATATTTCAGATTTTCTGCACAGCAAAGGTGTACATACTGCTTTCAAAACCAACAGCTCAGGCATGCACATTAGGAATAACAAAAATAAAAGTTCAGTTTGAGAAAAATCAGGAGTATATAAATTATCGTGTGGGTCGTGTCCAATGTTTTATATAGGTCAAACTGAAAGAACATTCAAAGCCCGCATAAAGGAACACAAATATAGTTTTCAGAATGGAAAAATTAATTTCACATATGCCAGTCATTTAATCTCAGAGGGACATGAGTTCAACCATGAATACAAACCCCTCCATTTCCAGAAGAAAGGTTTGAAACTAAACCTGTTGGAGAGTAACAAATTCAAAAACTCTCAACATCTTATTACCGATCAAACTGAATTTTATAATTCGCCATTATTGAATCTGTTCATTTGCAAGTGAAAATAGTTAGGTATATTTACGGGTATACTTTCGGAAAAATTTATTGATTTATTGATTAATGGATTCAAACCTGATCTTTTAAGGTAAATTAATCATTTAGGTAGACGAGCAGGTACTAGGTTAGAGTATAAAACGGTTGTAATTTAGAAGTAACTCTCAGTTTATGCTTGAGGAAGCTCTTGTATAACGTAACACGTGTCGCGGTTTTTGTAAAACCCTTTTATAGTGAAAATCATACATTAAACTGCATTGATTAGCTTTTTTTTAACGTAAATGATTCAATCTGGAATACCTAACATTAGGAGAACAAAACACACCTATAAACATCATATTTAGATTGGCCATTATAAATCGGCCATTTTTTGAGAAATCATAGATACATTTTTTTTATGTATTGATGCACAAACTTGAATCAATATTCCATTTCCTTTTTTTACATCCACTATCATTTTCTTCATGTTGTTTCTCCAATACTTCACAAATTGACTTAGCCTTATGTTTGACTCACATTAGTTTACCGTTAGTAACAAATAAAATTAATAATTATTTTATTCTAAAACCGACCATTGTGCACAAGAATTGTGAAGTTACAATGATTGCTGAAGGACTGCTCACAAACTTCTATACAAAAATTAAGCTTTCACAAAAGAGGCCGTAGGTATGATAAGTGGGAAGTAGGACGATTTTGGAAAAGAAAATTAGTCAGGAAAATAGTAGGCGAAGTGAAGGCGGTACAAAATTAAGAGTAACAGGAGAAGTCAAGGGTCTGGCTGGGCCTGCACCTTTCACATATTATAAATGGCCATTTGAATAAACCCACTACTTGTATAGAAAACACATTAGCCCACAACATACGAGTAGAAGGTCCAGTCCGTATACTTTCAATAAAAATAATTTATTACTAGTAATAAATAAATTACTAGTAATTACTAGTAATAATATTACTAGTAATAATATTACTAGTATGAACTATATGATTCAAATTGTAACATTATATGAAGCACTAATTAGATAACAAATGATAAAAAAGAACTGAAAAAACCACAAAGTCGAAGACTGTTTGTGGTGTGCGTCTATCCTATGATAAATAGTATCGATTATTAGTGCAGCCAATGACAATATATTTCCACCTTCAAATTTGAATTTTATAGTAAATAAGCGTGTTTAATATGCTACTGAAATAGTGGTCACTTCATACAATACTAAAAATTACAGATCAAACAAGTAATTTAACATACAATTTTCCCAACATTAGTAAACAAAAAAGATAATATATATATATACACATACAAACATATACATACATATACACATATATACACATACATATATATACATACATATACACATATATACACATACATATATAACAAATAAGGGCAATAATAAACGTATGATAACACTTCCTATACAGTAATACAAACCTCCACAAGTTCATGAATAGTGAGTCTGTTTGAATCAATCAAAAAATTTTTCAGTTTCTTCTTGAATCCTCTATAAGAATGAGTTTCTTTTATTTCAACAGTAATGAAATTGAAAATTTTGGCACCAAGTACGAAAAGCATCGCTGTCCTATAGATTTTGAAGCTAGCGGTGTTCTGAAATAATTGGACTTTTTTCTTGTTTCGTAGCAATGTTCTAGTCTTTTGAGATTAGATTTCTGTTTGAATTCAAAGCAAGATACAACAAAGAAATAATGCTGGCGGATGTCAAGGATTCTAGATTCGGAGTATAACAAATCAGATGAATATCGGAGATGAATATCAATAAAAATAGAAATATTACAATAATAAAAATGTTTCCTTATCGTTTAAATATATATTACAACAAGGTATCAAAAAAAATAAAGAAAAGAGATATTGCCAAATATTTACTAGCACTTTGAGCAGAAAAGACTAAAATTCTAGTTCGAAATTTCACGAGCCTGCAGCTGCCGCCTTTTTTGAATGTTACTAGACAATTATGTCATTTTATTGAAGTAAAGAACAGACTTCAGGGTCTCAAACCGTTGAGTTTCCAACCTGGGTTCCATTATAGCTAATAAAATCCCAATTATGAATTATTTCTAGCGACGCAACACCTCATACAACGTTATACTTGGAACATCACTTCTGGAACATCCGCATAAAGAGCAATATCAACTGAACGAATCCATTTGCAGTAAAGATGATGTTTCGAATCTGATACAATCATAATATGTCAACTTCCGCAGTTTACTCGAGATAAACTCTCCAATTCATGATTGAAATCGATGAAAATACTGACCATTAGCACCATCTTGTGGCAACGTCGGAACTACCCCACTCAGTCTACAACAATTTCTGAAAACATTTGCCGTGTATAGACATCTTAGTATGACTGATTCGCTCGAATATCAGAAACTCGAATGGGGTTTCCTTTATTTCAATTGTTTTTGACGAAATATCAAAAAAACACATGGATTGAAGGAATAAATTAGGTTAGCTGCATTCCATGAGCCAAAACACTACTGAACTTTATAGTCGATTCATTCTGAATAGTGCAGAATGTAAGACAGCTCAAAGAAGGCTCAGGATGTGAAGTGTACTCCAGATCACAAAGCCTAAGGATTAAGTGAGGAATGGAAAAATATCAGCGTGGTTCAAACAGAACTGGCTGGTATCTCAATTGCCACAAAAACATAACAATTTGCACTGATAACAGACAAGCCCTATTAACCTTGAACAGACAACGTATCACCTCAGGGCTAGTACTAGAGTGTCACCAAGATTTAGCCAAAGCCTCGGTAGATAATAACATTATTCTGAGGTGGGTTGAAGGGCATGACAGGAGTAAAGGTAATCGCATTGCCGACTCTTTAGCCAAGGAAGTGGCTGGACTAAGATTTTAGTACCCAGTGGCACCTACGGCCTGATGACTCTGACAATTGCGGAACTAGTCAAATGTTAAACCCATGATTGATCCTTAAAGAGATAGGATAGAATCAAAGGATGTAATCCTGCCAGGATTACCTTGGGCGACCCTGGGAAGCTGGCACCGAAGAAATATCTGGTGATGACCAGGAAAAATCTACGCCTAACTGTAGGATTTCTGACTGGTCACTGTCAACTAAGGAAACACCTCCATAATATGGGGCTAGTGGACACACCTCTATGCAGGATGTGTGAACAGGAAGATGAGACTATCAGGCATGTCCTGTGAGAGTGCCCGGAGTTATCGTCGATAAGAGATAACCTGCCGATATGAAGGAGATGTCTCCCAGTGACCTGTCCACCTTCCTGGAAAGGACATGACGGACGATGACCCAAGAGGACAACTCCTCGGGAGGATGTACAATGGGTCACATGTGGCCTAAGTGTTGTGGACTTACACTCACCCTCCCTACCCTACAGATACAGATAGTGTAGAATGTAAACTTCTAGAAACCTAATTGAAATAATTTGAACTACATACGGATTTGTAATATTAGAGCGAAGCAGTCGTGTGAATTTCCAACATAAAATCTGTCAATTGAAAAATTAAATACCACAAGACAACTCTGACAAGAAAAACTCTTTTTGGTGATAAAAAGGTTCTGCTATCTCCTCATATTTATTCCAAAAATATAAAAGCAGAGACTGAAAATGGAAATTATTGTAACTATATTACTTGATTTGAAGGTTCTCTTAGGGTGAGCAGTAGCACTTTGTGATATGAGTTGTACTTATAATTCAGATCAAACTGTTCTTAGCGAACCAGTTATCCAAACAATGTAACATGATATCCTTCAACTGGCCACAAAAAATATAACCCGTTTCCGTGATTCTTGTAGGACCTCCAGACCTATCTTGATTCATCGGAGAAGGGAGTTGTGTACTTCAGTCTCGGAAGCAATATCAAGAGTGCGAATTTGTCTGGAGGACTACAAGAAATCATCAAGCAAGCTCTGTCTGAGCTTCCTTTCGATATCATCTGGAAATGGGAGACAGAACAACTGCCAGGAAAGCCGGACAATGTTCTAATCAGAGAATGGCTCCCACAGCAAGATATTCTAGGTGAGTCATTAGGTCACTCTCAACTTATGTGTGATAACCATGTGATAATCATGTGATAACCTCGATAATTTCATGCTATGTGGTAGCATTTTTACCACAAGCTCTCATTCAACTTGTAGGCTTTGTATGTACGAGTATATACAGTGCATTCCATTCAAATCGAGCCACTCTGAATAACTTTTCGTACAATGATCTGCAGGAAAAATAAAAAACACGTCAACCATAGTATACAGGAAAACACATTTTGACATATTCACATTTGATATTACTTCCCCTATCGCACCCCCATGGCATGTCACCATTTTTTTCAAATGGAACATCCTATATTATTTCGCGTCATATGCTCCATGATCAGCAGATTTCAACGAAATATAAATTATATGGACTGAAGCTTATGGTTCGGGAGCTACAAATTAATTGAGTTGCAAACGAGCCACCCTGAATAACTTTTGGAAGTGATTTTCAGGAAAAATAAAAAAACACCTCAACAACAGGGAAACACATTTTGACATATTCACATTTGACCTAACTTTTCCTATCGCACTCCAAGAGCATGTCACTATTTTTTTAAATGGATCAATTGTTTTGCATTATCAGATGTTCCATGATGAACAGTTTTCAACAAATGTTTGAAGGTGATTGACAATGTTTCATGATGAATTTCACTAGTTCGGATTCCTCCGAGAGATGACTATTTATACATTTTGTGTAAAGAATTCGTCCTTCGGTTGAAAATAACAGTTTCGTACACAGCATCCTAGTAATTCCATAATTACTTCTATAGATAGATTCGTTGTCTCTTATTTCATTTCAGGTTATTTTTGCTTAAGATAATTGTTATTTTCAGCTATTCAATTTTAATTCTTCTTTTTTTTTAGTCATTTCAGGGATTTCAAATCATTTTATAGATTAGACGATGGAAGTCCGAACTAGTGAAAAGATTTCAACAAAGTAGAATACACTACGATCATATCAGAAAACGTACATATAGACCTTTAAAGGGTCGCAATGGTATATGTCTATCTCTCAGGGATAACCCACAATTACCATTTTTCGTTCTCGAGAAATAATGACTCATTTACGAAGCGATTTCATGTAATACTGTATTATTAATCCTTATACAATTAGGTACCTTGAACGCATTGTGCATTTAACATAGATCAATATGGCGCTTCACTGCATATAATTTAAATGAATATTTATTACAGGTTTTGAATGCAGGGACATGAAGCGGTTGTGGCGGTACCGGCCTGCGGTACGCCATATAGCACTGCATGATTAGCAGCGATCGCACGCGTTTCAATGTACATTCATTTTCAGCATTGCACCCATGCAGAGCCGGGACAGGTCACTAGTACGATACTAAATGAAATAATAACTCGAGTACAAACAGGGTAGACACAAAAAAACTAATGAAAAAACTGAGCTAGCAGTTACTATTCTGGAATAATTTTGTCATAAATATCAACAACTTCAGCAATAATACTCATTTCGATAATTTGAATTTGTGAAATCGTTGACCTCCTGATATGGAATTGACTAAAAACCTAAAAAGAGAATTTTATCAACATGTTACAGGATTCCATACGGAATTGAAGGATACTCAATACTCAACTGAGGTGTCACCAACTAGTATTTTCATTTGAACATTTCGGCATGAGGATTGTTGTTGGAGGGGAGTAACTGACAAGGGGTTGATTACCACGTGGAAATAATTTCCGTTGAAAACGATGGTTGACGAGTTAGATGATTTTTGAAGTCTACCGACTCGTTCACATTTCATCTGAAATGCACTGTATGACGAAAGATGCAAATTTGCTATGTATTTATGTTTTTTTTATTCAAAAACACCATTCTCCAACTTCTGAATACTGATTCAATTCCCGTAGCGAACTAATGAAAATTTTGACGGTTTTATTGAAAAGTACGCTAATCTCTTGAAAGTATGTTTTTGATTTAGGGCATCCAAACGTCAAAGTGTTCGTTACACAAGGAGGTCTCCAATCCCTTGAAGAAGCTGTAGTAAATGGAGTTCCAATGGTCGGTATACCCTTTTGGATGGATCAGTTTAATAATGTCAAAATCCTTGCCGATAAAGAAATGGGAATCGGTCTGAACTACAACACAATGACAAAGGATGAACTGAGAAAGGCTATCTTTGAAGTAGCAACAAATTCGAAGTGAGTTCGCAATATAATGTCAAATAGTGTAGGTAAATCAAACACTAACAACCCAGATAACTTACCAAAAAGAAATCTATTTTCACGATGATTGATTCAGGAGTCAACTCTTGAGTTTCGGTAAATGAAATCTCTACAAATAACCTGTTGAAACATTTTTTTTAACGATTAGGAACGTTATTGAAACATGGAAATCATGTTCGTATATAATGAAGAAAACTTTTTTTGAGGACAAAAAATAAGCACTACAGAAAAATCTTTAAGCCGATCAGCAGTAAAGTTTTAGATGAACTGAGTTGAACCTCATATCGATGACCAGTTACAGTCCGTCGCATATTTCTGATTATGTACCGCTCTTGGTGAAATCGAATGTGATCCCAACAAGCAAAGTTGTTTTATAATTCCATGGTGTTGCAACAGTTTTATTTTATTAATATTTTATAATTACTTTCAAAATGCTAATTGATTATATTAGATGATCCGTGAACATAATACAGTTGTAGGAAATAAAACTGTTTCATACATTTATCATAGAAACGTTAAAGAAATAAAATTAAAAAACCATTATAAAATAGTCNAGAAAACATTTTTAACACTTTTTTATTTTATTGTTATCGTTTTCGGCTGTATTATATTTTATAACGCTTACTTGGAACTACTAAAAAAGTCTTATAAAATTGTCTTCTGATTATTTTATAAGTATCGCTTAAGTATGTTGCAAAAGTGCAGTGAGAGAAGTCGTCACAAAACTACTTATTAAGAGTGTTAGAAAAATTTTATACTAACTGCCAAAATGTGTATAAAACTATTTTACAGTGTTTGTAAAAGGCCTTACAAAATATTGATAAAGACTATAATGTTTTATAAAACGGTGCCAATTTCTTATTTATAGCAGTTTCATAAACACATTGAAAACATAAGTTTTATAATTTGTTTGTCCGAAACATTTCCGCAACTATTATAAAATACGAAATTGCTAGTTGGGATGGCATCACTTCAACATCTCCCGTGGAAGTATCTATGAAAAAGTGTATACAGATGTTTCCCACTTAGTGTCTGTATTGGTTAAGAGGACCGGCACTGAGTGGGAAACATCTGTATACCGAAAATCCACTCACACAGGACAGTATCTGAACCATGAATACAATCACCATCAATTGACAAGAAGAGGAATCATCAAGACTCTAGTAGACCAAGCTTTCGAACCCTGTAATACAAAGGTGGAATGTCTTGAAAAGGAAATAGGCCCACCTAAAATGGTTTTCAAAGGAATAGTTACTCCAGAGTAATTGTAGAACAGTCTTTGGCTAAAAGACAGCAAGAGCCTCGCAATAAAGAGAATCCAAATCGGTGAAATTAAGAGGCCATTGAAAGTCTGTATTGCCGAGCACAAGAAATACACACAGCGAGGAGAAACCAGCAAATCAGGAATAGCAGAGCATGTTTGGACTCATCAACATAACATCAAGTGGTTCCAAGCTGAAATCATCGACAAGAAGGATCACTGGTTTAGGAGAAAATTCAAAGAAGCTGCATTCATGTTGTCCAACAACGCCATAAGCCAAGCATATGGAATCCCATAATCAAGCGAAAAACGGCCGACTCCCGCCAAACGTTCATCTCCCGCTAAACCGGTGAAGCAAAGAGAGGCAAGAAGGGATAGATGAAAGCGCTCGAATGACGTATAATTAGTCATCTCTCGGAGATGATTGTGTATATTAACAATCGAAATGTCGTGAAGTAACTTGGTTTAAAATCTTTCGATTTTTTTATTTTTATTTTTATTTCTTGTTAATTGCTCAATTTTCAATTGTTGTTTGAATTTATTTCGTTGTAATTTCAGTTCATGGTTTTTTGCATAATATAATTGTTATTTTCAGCCATTCTTTTTGAATNTTGTTTCTTTTTTCTATCTTTTCTTCCTCGATAATTTGTGATGTATCTACCAATTATATGTTCAACATCAATGATGATATCTTTCAAAGGAAAATTCTTAGCCCATAGACTGAGACAGGATCAGCAACAGGCGGACCGCTTGCGGGGTTAAACATGTTTATGCGACCTGTCAAGCATTTCTAAGATTGAATTTAGTTTATCGACTGATATTTATTATAAATAACGTTTTGTGAATTAATAGTATGTGTTACTTTATTTGCGACCCGCTAAAAAATCCCAAAATTTAAATTGGCCCGTTAATTGAAAATGTTGCTCACTCCTGGACTAAGATGTTGTAGCCAATGGCCGAGTAGACGAAGGCATAGTAGACTGCGATTAACTCATCTTTTTTCTGGTAGCTTTTTGGGTTGTTTATGGCAAAGTATTGTTTATTTAGTTTATAACAAATGCTGTTAATAAATTCGTCCCAGCTGAGAGTTTCATCTTGGACCGTGCCCAAAAAAAATCATTTAGTACTGAATAGTAAAGTATATTGACTAAATATGATATTTGTGGTGATTATGGGATCTACAAAGGGTCTGTGAAATCTGAGTAGGGTTGTCTTTGAGTGGTTCATCATCAGGCGATTTTTGTGACAACATTCATCGAACTCGTGGAGGAAATTTTTTGTTTTGGATATCACTTTATCTTCGTTTATGCTAGATACGATTATAGATGTGTCGTCTGCATAAATGAAGACTTTACCGTAACTTATATGGTCAGTTAAATCATTGATGATTAATAGGAAAATTAGAGAATCAAGCACACTTCCTTTGTTGACTATATACCAGCATTTCATTTGGTTCTGATGCTACTATTGGTGTTTTCTATGCGTCTGGGTTTGAGAGGCTCATTATGCATTCCAGGTCAGCTGTTTTATTTTTCAAGAGTCCAATGTATTCTCGTAAAGGCACTTTCTCCATCTTCATGTTGTCTAATTGAAAATACCTTCTGGGGCAGGTCTGTTTATCAAGTCCTAGATCATCACATCCATGTTTGAGTAGTTTAACCTCACTCATGTCGAAGAAAGGATTGTTAGTCGTAGTGGTATTTGAACGATTTTTGAAAAAGATACACAAAACATCACTTATCACACTCTATCATCATTTGTTATTTATGATAATCTCAATTAATTCAGCTTTTCTCAATTTGTGGAGCTCGCGTCTAACCGATACGTCTATTCCGGCCGCCATATCGACAATCAGAACTTCAATGTTCACTTTTAGTTAATCAATTATTTCTAAATATCGAATAGGCGAAGTTAGTTGGGAATTCAGCATAGTTTTTCTTTCTCCGCCACGACACCTGAAAGGTGTCGATAATAATCTGTCAGATACTCATGAAGGTAGAACATCTCCCTGCTTGTTCAAATTGTCTCCACCGTAGACAAAACGCGAGTCTTCTATCAAACCACACCAACACCAACGGTGGTAGAACTGCCACCACTTTGTTGAAAGGCTGAAGAGGGGCTACATATACTTTCCAAAGAAAGCAAGATACATGATCTCTTTCAAAATTTTAACAAAACCAGCAGTAGGTATACTACTCACATTCCGCATTGGAAATTCATTGATTCGTGTCCCACAACCTCGACTCTGATTTTTTTAACAATATTTCAATTATACTTTACGATTTTATCATTTACATAATCATTGCCTTTTATTGGTTTCATTCTAGTTCCTTACAGCATGAATAAGTTATCAATTGATCGATATTTCAATTACAGATTCAAAAAACAGCTGGAAAAGGCAAAAAACATTCTTTTGGATCAACCAGTGACGGGTTTGAACAAAGCTATTTGGTGGATTGAATACGTACTGCGCCATAAGGAAACTACGCATCTGCGCACTCCTTCTGCCGATATGTCCTTCTTCCAATATTTCATGGTAGACGTGTTTGCGTTTTTGCTGCTGTCAATATGTATTTTCGTTTATTTGTTGAAAATGGCTTTTAGGATGATTGTTGGATCCAAAAACAACAAAATCAAAACAAACTAGAATAGAAAATGACTTATTTCGGAGTGAAATTATTCCAAAGTGATATCAAAAAGTTACCGTTTGTGCCTAAAAATAATAAGTTAGTATCAATAGTACCTACATGTACAACCTCACACAACCCTTAATACTATTTGAAAATCCTACAAAAAATTGGGAAAACTAGTTCAACGAAAATTCAAAATGTACTCTTGAAATCTTCGTCATGTTCATAGAAACAATTTTCAAACTCAATTCATTCGATAAATATTTTTCATCCGAAATAATTATAGAATTATATAATTCAGCAGTATGAGTGAAAAAAGTTCAATTTTTGCATTTTTCATTCAATCGATCCTACTGATGTTATTTATTTCAAGTTACTATTCTGAGTTGTTTTACGACATACTCATCCTGTTCTTCATTATACACACCGAAAAGGGTTGTTCTCACTTCCTAAAAAATTAGTAGTACAATTGTGGATTTATCAATCACAATATTCAATAATTCAGTAAATTCATAAAAAGAAATGTATGTATATGAATATAAATATAGTCAATAACAATACAATATGAATTGCATCGTTATCATTACCATGTCATCATTGAGTACCCTGAGTGGTGGATGGAAAGCGCAACACAATAACTTCTGTAAGTGAGGTGTATCCATCCTCACACAAAGGGTAAGAAAAGTGTATACAAACTGTAAACTGTAAATTCAAGATGATCTATCATGCCCCTATACCTAAATCGTCAATTTTTCTCAATAAAGTCGCTTCTTCTAGAAACATTATTTTTTTTTAGAATTTGGATTTAGGTAGCTTACTTTTATGATTAATTCGCGAAGAGTTATCGACGGTGTTTCGAATCATCTTCCAAAATGAATGCAAATATCGACTAAAACATCAAAACCTAGACAAAACCTATATAAACCAAATGGAACACAGTATAAATACAATACTTAATCAAAATGATTTCGAATCTGAAGGGAAAATTTATAAACAAACACTATCTAGCATTATATCCGAAATATACCTGCAAACCATAGATGAGAAAATCTTAACAATAATAAAAACACATGATGAAAAAGGAGAATGTTTTAGATACGTTGACGATGGACTGTACATATCACAAAACAATGGAATAAGAATA